TAGGTTTTCCAAAAAAATTACTTACTATTTTTATCAACTTTTAGGAACAGATTCATTGTAATGTGAAATAATAATACCCATGAAGTTCAGAGTTTATTGCCATTTCTATAATGAAGGAAAATGACACTCGCCAATTCTTTAAAGAAAAGATGAAATAATTAATATATAGTTCAGGATGATGAAGCCAACTGCACGTTATTTTAATATTGATTATAGGATTTTAGTATGTCACAAATACCAAAAGGGAATAGCACATTGTGTCACCAAAGGTTAACATAATCATAATAACTCTAGGTTTTGATGTCTTTGCATAAATGCTTGGACATTGACAATGAATTGTGAAAATTTGACAAGTAAATTTTTGAGCATTCTGAGACTAGCAAAAAAGTAGTTGCCTGATAAAAATTATAATTCTTTATAATTGCAAATGACGTTTTTATATTCGGATTGAAGGAATTGCCAACTCATAAATTCATCTATAGTTCTTGCAGTACAAATTCATTTCATTTCTAATCTCACCTGTTCTTTGAATTTTCGATCATCATCAGCTTCTTGCCGCAATATCCTTTGTTTATCCAACATTTGTTGATCCAGCGACTCCCTTATCTCAATCCTTTTTCTGATTTGTTTCTCAATCTCCTCCCTATGTCTTTTTTCTAGGGCCTCTTTTTGTTCTTCTTCTAGCAAGTCTTGTATTATATCATCTCTTTCTTTTTGTTTCATCTGTAGAAAAAATTAGAAATGAGTTAAACTGGGAAGTCCAATAATAGTGTGAAAAAAATATGATCACATTTCAATAAGAAATACACCTGGTCACCTACCCCTTTGGAAATACTTTATGTAATTATTATATACTTTTACTTTTTATGTAATCAAGAGAACTATACTTATGTAACAAAAATGAAACAAAATTGAAAATTAAAATGAAGTTTTGACTGCAGAGAAGGATAGTGGAAAAAAAATCAAAGACCCCAATTCCCAAGTTGTGAACCTAAATAAAATAATTGTTGAATCAGAACAAAAAATTAAAGAACTTAATGAACAAGTAGGGAAATCAGCAGGTCAGACTGCTACACTCCAAGATGAACTATCAGAAATCATCCCTCCAACTAAAGGCCTATAGCACTTATTCCTGCCCTCGCAAAAATCATAGAAAAACTGGTCAAAATAAGAATTTATTCCTTATGTAATGGCAATAACATTCTTACTCCTCACCAATTCGGATTCCAAGAAAAAAAGGGTACTAATGATGCCATGTTCTCTCTTCTAGAAACGGTTTATTCCAATTTATTGCTAAAGAATCACTGGTTGCAATTTTCTGTGGCCTATCGAAGGCATTCGATTCTGTCAACTGAGATACTTCTGAATAAATTGCAGAAGTGCGGTTTCAGAGGCATCACCCTTCAGTGGTTCCAGCCATACTTATCGGGGCGCAAACAAATGATAAAAACATTGGATTGCTCTTCTGAACAGTCTATCAATTGTGGAGTGCTTCAAGGCTCAATCCTCAGCCCAATTCTTTTTCTCATCTATATAAATGACTTATGTCTCATAGATATGAATTAATTTATTATTCCCACATAGTAGGGACATGTAACATATAAATTGAAAATAAAAACATACTAAGAATAATTCAATCATTCTCTTTGCTCAACAGAATTTTGACGATCTGCATGAGATCATCTCTGAAGACATAAAAAAAATAAAAGAATGGCATGACTGTAATAAGTTATTCTCCAACATCAATAAAACCGGCATTCTTACTATTCGCAGCACCTTCCCGGAGACCTTCCTTGGCAACGAACTATTTTTTTTCAAAGGACATAATACAAGCACTACAGGAAATTCCTCAAGGTGCTCCCAGAGCGGTGCATGTGCGAAAGTAGCGATTTATATTGGATTTGAATCGTTGGAGATTAAATCCATTTGGAAAACCGTTCTCAGGAAGTTTATTCTACATAATGGCAGTTCTCCAGATGAAGGAGTTCTTAAACAGTAAAGTTCGAGGTGTACAACGCAGTTCTCCAGATGAAAGAGTTCTTAAATAGTGAAGTTCGAGGTGTACTGAGTTGAAACGATGAGCAGCCACAGTCCGTCGTGTATTTCTGATATGTTCCACTCTTGGTGAAATCAAATATACCAACTCACTTGAACACTTCCCGTGAAAGTATCAATAGAAGAGAGACAAATCTCCAACCTTTCTTCGATGTTCCAGGCTACCAAGAATGCATGTGATGTTCCCGTCTCCAATCAGGCGGATGGCTTTTTTCTGGGTATTTTTGGGGGCAGAGCTCCATATATGAGAACAATACTCCAAAGAAGGTCTGATCTGAGCTTTTTGAAGCATCAAAAGTTGCTGAGGTGTGTACAGTTTTCTGGTTCAGAACAGTGTTCCAAGTTTTTGAGAAGCAACCTTTGCAATTCCTTAAGAGAGTACACATACTTCTTGAAGTTCAAGGACCATACAATAAATTTAAGTAAGAAGATTGCCTCAGGCTGTTTTGCTCTCATAGATTCCCATATTAGATACGGAATTGACTTATAAGGAGTCTGCTCCAGAGACTTATTTCAATTTTTTTTTTGTTTTTCAAGAAACGGCAGTCTGTTACATATGCAAAGCTGCGTCCTGGGATACATGCAAACCTCTTTTCAAAGCTCATGGTATTTTGACAGTAGCCTCCATATACATTTTGGAAACAATCTCTTTTTGTCTCGTGTGAGCCACACTCCTCATAATACCCGAAGTCGTATTAGCAATATTGAACGACCTATTATCACAAGCTGGTTAGTAAGGGGCTCAATTATTTTCAATGGCATCAAACTGTTCAATCATCTTCCAGTTAAAATAAAAGAAATGAATAGTTACAATAAATTCAGAAAAGAGGTCAAAATGCTTCTGGTTGATGGGGTATATTACTCTCAGTTCAGGAGTAATTTGACGATACTTTCGTCTCCTGTTACACTCAAGAACTAATATTTTCTCGCTTAGTATATGTATGTTTTTATGTGTTCTATTTTATTTATATATTTTAACTTTTGTATTTTTAGACTTTGTCTATAAGATGTAATTTCTTCTGACAATGAAGTATATTTGATTTGATAAAAAACTGACACAAAAGAAATAAAAAACATCATGTCTCCGTATTAAAACCCCAGTCAAAATTACTGACACTGCGGCTATTTACTCATAAACACGTCACATCTGCTTTAAGTTGCCGAGGAGTTGGTCCTTTGCAGACTGTTTTGGTTAAAGCATCAAGTCAAAGTAAAAATATTATTGTACATACTCTTGAAAATATCGAATTTTTGTTTTGATCAGTGTTTTTCTTTTAAACCAATGTAAGTTACACTAATATTTATTCCCACATCAAATCTTTTTAGAAATTATAATACAGGAACATGAAGCATGCGTCTGCTTGCAATACTTTGATTGGCTTTCTAGTAAAGCAAAGTTCCGAGGTCTCTGACCGGGGATTCATCGTGTTAGCAGCTTAACGCCAAGTAATGTTGCCAGACTAAATAAAAACGAATGATCAGAAACGAACAAAGATGAGAATTTTTCAGTTAATTAATTTTGTATTATAAAATAGTTACAGATCAGTGAGTTATTCAAAGATTTGGTTAGTCTTTATCTGGGCATTCTATTATGTGCTGCTTCCCAGTTATGCAGATGAATATCAGATTGTGTAGCTAGATTTGTCAAATTCTTATGGATCTCAAGTAGAGTATTCAAAATGAAAAGTGATGGTGAACAGTGCTTTGCAGTTATCTATATATGTAGCATTTAAAAAAAATGTATAGCCTTTTCTTGCCAACGAAAATAACTTGTGCAGCTTATGAGTTACCCCAGGGTAATATTCAACAGTAGAGATCACTTTGGAATATAGAGAAATATGCGGTTCTCAGAGTGTTAATATTAGTTCTTTGCCTTAGTTGCTGAATACTGAAAAGAGAAATTGAGAACTTAGAGTTCAGTTGTCAACATGACTCCATCAACGGTGCTACTCATCTAGCATTAAACCAAAAAATTTTACATCTTTATTTCTCCTTGCAGTGATGTTTTGACGGGATTAGAATTATTCTTAGAGTAAAATTGAAGTTGATTTAGTGTTAATTTAATTATGGTTGCATGTTTTCAACCTATGATGAATAGATAGATAATTAGATTGAAATGAGCAGTGAATACAATCTGCAAAACAATCTTAATGACTAGGGATGATCATAGATGAACCAACAAAAGTCACATCAAAGATTTCAGATCTAACTGATATCATTGTTGATAATATTAGTAATGTATTTAAATCTTTCAGGGTATTTTATGTTAACATAAAAATCATGTTTGTTCAATATACAGAGAAATCAACTTATATTTCATGTATAATTCTGATTTCTGTGCTCAGCACAGGAATAACACTCAGTTCATCACTAGTATTTGAATATTTTGCTGCGGTCTAGACGACTATTGAAAATTTCAATTAACAATTGATATCGCATAACATGTTTTGAAGTATTTGTCAACATAAAAGTCAAAAGATTTAATTTATTTGAAAGTTCATTATACTGATTTACATTATTGTATTTTCAATCATTGAATAATGGTGGTCAAAAAAAAGAAGTCGGTTAGAAATGATGCTTCGATGGGTGTAAGCTTAGATATGTCGATGGATTCTATGGAAGAAACAAGATTCAAGAAAAAATATCAACATCTAATCCACAAATTATCCAAAAAACTACACTTCACCACCATTGAACTAGAGTGTCTATTGATAATTTATTACAAACTGCAGAAAGAAGGAGAAATCAAACAGCCTGGAGTAACCAAGACTCAATTTCGAGATGTTTTACACTGTGGATTCGATATGACAGATGATAATCTAATGGACAGAATATTTTTAGCCATTGATAAAGGACCGAGTTCATATGTTTCAATGGAAACTTGGGCAACAACCTTGAGTCTATTTCTGAGAGGGTCACTAGAAGAAAAAATTGAATTTTGTTTTTCTGTGAGTGGTTATATATAAAAAAAAAACTTGAAATCCTTGAAAGTATACTTATATAAGGGATATTAAACGAAAAACTAAAATCAAGATTAGATTAACTAGTATGTAGGTATGCCACGGGACCATAATACACCAGGTTGGGTGGGTTACATTTCTGCCCATCTAATACCATAAGAGCTATTATAATTGATTTTATATACACATTTTACTTACTAAACCATGCTTTTACAGTCAATGTGGGCTAAAGTTTTAGGTGAAAACACTACTTCCTAGTAACTCATCAACACTAATTTTAATATTTTGAGCAACTTCTAGTATAGTCTTTCCCCTTACTTTTGACCTACTTCAATTTCAGAAATGTGGAGCAAAAGTACAAACTAAAACTCAATTTTTATATCGACCTTTTTGGGTAATTGTTACCTTCCACAATCTGAAAAAATATAAAAATTGTAATGGAGAACTTTATACAAGTGTAGAAGGGCAATCTTTTTAGTTTACCCCGATAAGTTACTGCGTAAAAATCAAAGTATTTTTTACAAATCAGAAGTTTTACCCAATATTTCAGTTAGAGGTCTGCTTTATGTCAATTGGGAAATATCAGAACTGCAAAGTACTTCTCTCATTATACCACAGGAAAATGAGTTTTGGTATATTTCAGATGAGCTGAACCTTGAATTATACTTGTAAAAATGTACATAGCATGATATATATTTGAATAACTCATGACTTCCATACGAAAGAGAAAACTATGAGTAATTTTAGGTGGATTTGTTCTTTCTAAATATAATTCTGAGTGTGAAATGAAAAAATTAAAACCAAAGAAAGTCTTACTATGTTTTGTTTGTAATATGTGGATAGTGACTTTCTAGCAGACATTTATTCTATCCAACAACTAAGAATTGGAAATTAGATGTTTATTGTATATTCGCTTATATAACTGGATTGATAGTAAGTGATATTATGGGGTTCTCTATTATTTTGACGACATGGGCTGCCAAGGTTGTATCTATTGAAGAGATTGTGACTTTTGCAATATGCAACCTGATTATAAATGTTATTTGGATCAAAATTCAAAGTCATTACCACTGTTTTTTTTTATACGACAAAAATATTTTAATTTGATAATATTTTTGAAGACTTTCTATCAAAACTTAATTTCTGATAGCAATCTACTGTAAAATCAAACCACCAACTCTTGATAACATCTGATAATATATTTCCTCGATATACCTATGAAATACTCTTTATTTTTTCAGGATATGATTGAAGTAATCACCAAAAAAATGGACTTAGATAGAGACGGCAAAATTTCATTCAATGATTATAGACAAAGTGTCTTGAAACAGCCTATGCTTTTAGAAGCTTTCGGACAATGTCTACCTTCAAGAAATGCAATACACGCATTCATGATATCGTTCACAACGAACCCTGGAAAATTATAGAATAGTTGAAATTTTAATTACCGATTCCTCGTACAGTTGCTTGGCAATAACATCTGATAGATGAGCTTTCAATGCTTCCTGCTTTGCTTGCTCTTCCTGTCTGAAAAATCATCAGAATATTAGTTGAAATAAACAAGGTGGTTCATTGAAACATATTCAAATTTATATTTTTAAATTAATCTTTATTGTCAGGCAAATAAAAACGAAATAAATTTTGACTTCTTTTGTACCGAGTTTCTACTAGAATAAAAAATAATAGAATTATTCACTAATATCACATACAGTGTAGAGTACATGTAGCAATTCAAATGATGTTTTATTCTTATAATACATCGATATGTATTATATATTATATAGAAAAGATATGTTTAACAAATGACTTATATGATGAACAACAAAGATAAACCATTGCTCAAAAAAAATCAAAGATGGTTGGGATACCTTAGATACTGGCTCATTAGCCATAATTAATGTCAATCACTTTGAGGAGCCAAACGCCATATATGGCTTCATTACTAGGTGACAACTAACATATTTACAAAGGGCTTTGCAGTGAAACTGATGTGAAAGACAGACATATGTTTCTAGTTTTCACTTCGACAATAATTGGAAAACAGATTTTAAACAGATTAATTTATCAAATGACACGACCATTTTGTTTCAAAAGTAACCAATAATAATATATTTTTCAGCTAACCACTGCTGAAAATTCTGTTCAGTAGCGGGTAAGAAGTGGTTATTTTTAGAATATATATTTATTGAAATATCAGACAAAACCTAACACGTCTAGCTGAAATCTTTGTCCTGACATACCTACTTTCTCCATTTATTGAGAAAGTGAAAAACATATTTTTTTAACGATTGCACATTAAAACATAGTCAATCCTTTCCCTGTACAACATTACAATGATTGGTTGTAAGATTGCACAGGGAATTTCATACAATATCATGCTGAAAAAAAGTAATTCTACAAAGTACCCAATTTTTAAAAGAATACACTTGCATTCAAAGAAATTAAAACCAATATTTTTTTACCTGGCTTTAATCCCTTCTGCTTTAGATAGGAGATACTCTTCAATCCTCCTATTTTCTTCTTCAATTTCAATCCTTTTTCTCTTTCTCCATACTTCTTGAGCTTCCTTGAACGCATCCATCTCTTCTCGTGTCCTCTTCATCTTGCACATTTTTTCGGAGGCCTCTCTTTCATCTTCATCATGTATCCTTTGTATAACATCATCTATTAGTTTCTTCTCTCTCAAAAATTCTTCATACAAATGACGTTTAGATTTTTCCCTCAGTATCATCTGGTCTTGGAGTTCTTGTTTATATTGTTGTTTTTTAATCATATCCTCTTGGGCCAGTTTTTTTTTGTATTCCGATTCCTCTACCCAAGCCATTTTGAGTATTTCCTGGGTTCTATTTTCTTGAATCTGAAAACAATTATGATTTTTAATTAAGAGTCATGAAAGCCATAGTTAGGTTCAACCTTCTCGTTTTCCCTTTCAGCTTCTTTTTGTGCTATTTGGGCTGCAAGTTCTTTATTGATATAGGCTGCCTTTAGTTTTCTTTCTAGATCTCTAAGTTCATGAGAATTTTCCCTCAGTTGTTGCCTGTACAAACATTGACTTATGATTTACTAAAACATTTCATGATTTTTGCATATTTGTAATACCATTAAAATTGTTCAACATGAGAAAAAATCAATATCGTGCAGCCCAAATTCAAATTTTCATTTAGCCTACAATAAAACCAAGAGGGATCAACTTATTTTCTTCATTTATTCAAAGTCCCCTGAAAATACTCCAGCCTTATAAGGTTATTATATTGTCCCATATACTAATTTGAAAAGGTCCCTTCATAGATGTTCGTTATATTCTTCGGGACACGTCAACTTTAAAACTGTTCAAAGACAATGTACTGCTCTTAGTGGCATTTACAACTTATGTAAACATAGCAAAGTCCTGACAAACTTCTTAATTTTAATTTTTTTTTCATCATCCAATTTCCGTTGGTATTGAGAATTTATATTTCTAAAATTCTCTGTTTGAATACATTGAAACTACATTGAAATATTTTGTTCTCCTCGCGACCTGGTAAAAAATTACATATGTGTGCTTTTTGTGCATTTTCTGAACCTCGGATTGGAATATATTATAGTTGATTCTACCTTTCAGACTTCATAATTTTGAATAGCTCATTTTTTTTCAAGAAATACAATGCCTTATCATGGCTCTGCCTAGTGAAAGGCTAAAATAAAAAAATCAGTAAATAGGAGTGCCAGAAGTACTGGCAAGTCAAAATCCTATATGATTTTTCACGTGATATTAATACATCAAAGTTGATTCTGTTACCTTTCTTTAATTTACTTTTTATCTAGAAGACCAGGGTGTAATGTCAATAGTCAACTGAATTCAATTAATCCATGAACAGGTATTTGTAGTTGTGGTTGTGGACAAGCACATTATTGACGGTGTGCTGGTCTTAGTCTAGCCCTGAAAGTTGAAATTTGGGAACTTTCAAAGTCACAATTTGAGGACCAAGACTAAGACACATACACAAATAAATGCTTTTAGGAAAACATTCTCCTCAAACTTTTTACTCGGGATTGAAATGAAGGCAGGGACAAGTACTATGATGTATAAATTGGCCCTGAGGGTCAGAAAATAGGAGTGCCAGAAGTACTGGCAAGTCAAAATCCTATATGTGCCAGAAGTACTGATATATTGATGATATACTGTTATATAAAGTTAAATTCATGTCATTAATGTTGACACAATAAAGGTCTGATTTCACATGCACATTTTTTTTCTTTTGGGAGATGAGTAACCTTCAAACCGACTAGAACACTGATACCACAGGAGGGGAGATATCAATAAACTATCCACTAAAAGCATATAGGGACAATATTACCTCAGTGTTACTATCTTCACTTGGGTTTGAAGAACCTCATAGTTTGGAACTGCATTCTAATGTTTTGCCAGCACGAGTAGCTGGCTTTATCATAGGTTTATTCATCTTGATGATTCACCGATGACAGTTATCGATGAATCAAGATGAATAAACCTTTGAAGAAACCAGCCACTCGTGCTGGTGAAACGTTAGGATGCAGTTACAAACTACGAAGGCCTTCAATCCCAAATGAAGATAGCAACACTGAAAATATCGGCCGCGATAGCCTTAATCAATTTATCAATAGTACCTCAATTTCAATTTTTTTATTTCATCTCTTTTGATCATATCCAACTCCCGCGCTAAATCATTATCCTGAACCATCTGCCTTTCCTTGAATGCTGCATCTGCTCTAGCTTTTTGAAATAGCATATCTTCTTCATGTTCTTGTCTCTGGATGTTGAGATATCTGTTGAGATTACGATACTGGTGTTTGCTTTCTATGTGTGCACGAATATTTTCCAAAGTATCAGTATATTTCTTTTTCTCAAGTTCTTCTGACAAAGCAAGTCTCTTATCTTGATTCAGAGCCTAAAAATGTTTCAAACTTGAACAACTGAAACATATATTCATCTAGAATAGATGAAATGAAAAATATATACCATTTCCAAACAAATTTGATAATAATTATTCCACTTTGTATTTAATATGAATTAACAGGATACAAAAACAAGAGAAACTACGATCAATTAAATAATATTTGCCTAACCAATAAATATAAAGCAAAATGAAATAAGTTGTTGACTGAATTGTCAAAAGTCAATGTGAAAATTGACAGAAATTGTCACCAGGATTAGTATACAGAAGGGGTTGCGTAATAGGCAAACTGAATGGAAATTCGTGACGTTATTAGAGGAAAATTTAATTTGGCAAAACTGAAGTTATCGAAAGTCCTGAACAATTGTTTTCTTTTAGAATAATCATTTATTCATTTCATTATTTTGTTCATTGTTGAATGTTTCGGAGAAATTTTGCACAATACAAACTATAGAGAAACACAAATATTCGTTAACACACAATAGCTTCAAGGCAAATGCTCAAGGCCAACATGTGAGAGGAAGTATTTGAAAACTGAAGATTTCATTTTGTTCCTAAATATACCCAGTCATCAGGCGCAATATTTAATGAAGAGAATCGTTCACGAATATTTGAGAAATTGTCATTTAATTTTTTATAGTAAATACAATTTCTATTTTTATAGATATTCCTCGGGTATTATTACCTTCCTTGCGTATAATTTCATCCCATTCTGAAGACGGAGGCAGATTTTAGCCTCCGAAACGTTAAGATAAATATTGTATAATTTATTGGCTCTTTTTTGATAGACAAAATTATTAAATACAACAAGTTACTGATGAATACAGCATTTTTCTTTGTGAAAAATACTTTGCATTTACGCAGTGTACATTATGTGAAAGGTAAAACTATCCAAAGAAGGCCGATAAAAAACTGTTTTTTTTCCCACAAATAATGACTTTCTTTCAGTATAATTTTTATAATTTGTTTTGTTATTAGTTTTTCTGGAAATATTATAATTAATTCCAAGTATGATCGGATGATGAACTGTTACATTTTTATAATAAAAAAATAATTGTGAAATATATATTCATCAAGTTGAAAACGGCAGGAAACAACTTTCATTGCATAAACTGACAAAATGGAATTGACTAATTGAATTTCGAAACTTGTTATTTCTTGTCATGAACGTAACTGAGGATAAATTATACATCGGTCAATACACAGTGTTGAATAACTTCTACATTTCTTCAACGCATGAGGACATCAACTTGTAGAAGTCGGCATCAAATATAGTTTTGACATTGGTCCTTTGTACAAGGCCGTAAGTCACTGGGAGAGATCTCCTTTATATCGGCAGGTGTAGGCCAAGATTCTCCGAACACACACTCCGATAACTCCGGACACTCGCATAGGATATGCTTGACAGTTTCATCTTCCTGTTCACACATCCTACATAGAGGTGTGTCCAATAGCTCCATATTATGGAGGTGTTTTCTTAGTTGACAGTGGCCAGTCAGAAATCCTACTGCTAAGCGTAGATTTTTCCTGGTCATCGCTGGATATTTCTTCGGCGCCAGCTTCCCAGGGTCGCCCAGGGTGATCCTGGTAAGACTGCATTCTTTGATTTCATCCCATCTCTTTAGGGATTGAGCTTGGGTGTAACGTTTGGCTAGTTCCGCAATTGTCGAAGTCATCAGGCCGTAGGTGCCACTGGGTCCTAAAATTCTTAATCCAGTCGCTTCCTTGGCTGAAGAGTCGGCAATGCGATTACCTTTACTTCTGTCGTGCCCTTTAATCCGCCTCAGAATAATGTTATTATCTACCGAGGCTTTGGCTAAATCTTGGTGGCACTCTAGTAATAGACCTGAGGTAACACGTTGTCTGTTCTAGGCTAATAGGGCTTGTCTGCTATCAGTGCAGATTGTAATTTTTTGCCAGAAATTCCTTTCCTGGTTATTTCTTTTGTGACAATTGAGATACCAGCCAGTTTTGTTTGAACCACGATGGTATTTTTTCCCATTCCCCACTTGGAGAACACTCCACATCCTGAGCCTTCTTTGGTTTTTGAGCCCTCTGTATATATGCGTATTGCATTTGTAGCATCTGACTCTGTTCTGTTTTATTAGTATTTTGTAGGGTTTATTGCACACAAACCTGGGTACAATTGCATCACTGGCTGCCTGCAGCTGAGGTTGCGCAGTGAGCGCTTCTCCCCATAGGCTCAGCCTCAATTGACCCATCCCTACTTCGAGGTTTTCACCAGCCGTGTGCAATCGTACCATGGCCATTAACGCAACCTCCTTAACGTACAGGTCCAGAGGAGACCGACCAGTAATTAATTCCATTGCCGCGGTTGGTGTTATTCTCATGGCTCCTGTGATGTTGAAATAAGCCAATCGTTCTATTTGATATACTTTTTGGATGGCCGTTGCTTGTAGAACTTTCGGGGGGGATCAATCCCCCTTGATCCCCCTTGGCTACGGCCTTGCCTGTGTATCTTCTTTTTGTTGTTGAAATTTTGGCTACTCGAACAGTCCCATCTATTCATGGCAATTTCTATCCAATTCGCCCCATTCGTTTCTCGGAGTTTTTCATCGACCAGTATTAAAGTGTCGCCGATGTGTATCAGAAGACTTTTTTCTTACCATTTTTGACGTCGAACAAAATTTGATCAATTGTGTGTGATAGCTTCAGCTTCTTCAGGATCTACTGATATGTGGGTTAGTGGTATCGAGTTTGCTATACATTCAACTTCATGCAACAAGGTAAGATAAACTTTGTTGGGATTTGTAGACTTCAGAGATCTTTGCAGAGTTATTGAAGTAATAACTTCTTATGGGAAGGGAAACCTAACGCGTAACGGCGCCAGTTTTGCTGGTTTCCCTTTCTCTCACGCATACGTCATCGGAAGGCAGGCTCCTCCTCTCTCCCCAGACAGACGCTCAGTGTTTAGTGTGCGTTAGACATATACTTTGACAGTATTATAAAAATCTAACAAGCCGGCACGCAATATTCTTTTATTATGTGTAACGTGGCTTGAAAATGATGATACTAATTTTATATATGTACATCATTGTTATCATTATTAAATCCTACAAAAGTAACAAATGGCGTATGGCGTCTGTCGGGCGTCTCGAGACACACACGTTTTTTAAAATAGAAATCGTTGAATGATTCACAGAATTTACCCATTCTTGTAGTTCACGTTCAGTTCCCACAAAATATGTTCCATTTCTTTTGGCTGACCTCTTTTTACAAATGAACCGTCTTATCGTCATGCTTGTTGAGCTGGTGTCTAATAAGGCAAACATCAGGTGAGGGGTGACCCATTTTTTTCTTTTCTTTGTCCTACTGAAATAAACAACATTAAAGACATGCTATGAATCTTTTGTTAACAGCAGAACGGATTTGAAGAGTCCAGAATTTCATTCTCAAATTATTGATAACGGTTTCAACTGCCATATGTTCAACTTTCTGATGGTAATGGTCCACCAGCATTGGAGTATAAGCATTGAGTGGACAAAAAACAATTGGACATCTGGTATCATCAAATATTTCAAACTGATCCAGAAACACGAAAAGTTTACCCAAACGCAAAACGGCTTGATATGGAAAGAAGTTTGTCTACGCAATGATTCTCCTTGGCTGAGCCGAATCCATGAGTTGCAGTTTCGTGCAATAAGTTAACCTCCAGTAGTAGAGCTTATGCTCTACCGAATTTAGGTTTTCTACACATCTTCTCAAAGTGTGACACCCATGCTGTTAATCGGATTGATCGAGGCCAATTCAAAAAACTTCATATATCATGAAGGTTGAAAAATTTTTTTGGACCACTGATGGTCCATATTTGTTCAATTCGATTTGTTTACAGTATTCATACTCAAAATCAGCATTTGTATCCATTTTTTGTTTCATGCAAATTAACCTACTCAATGCATTGGTACGACTGTCTGGTAATGCATCATTTTCATTTTTTCATAAATGGGCTACCTTGTAATTGTCATCCATCTTCTGATGGATTGCCATTACAAGGATGAATTGCCTTTTTATTTTCGGAAAATTTGATAATATTATCACTGTACTTCATTCCAGATGATTTCAGTTTAAAGCTGTCTTTCACAAGTTGATGAAGTTCTTCGTCATGTACCAGTCGAAAACACAGATTCATGTATTTTGTTTCGTACATTCCATTAACAGCTCCACTTATTGTCAAAACCTATGGATAATAGCGGAGTTACAGTCTTTATAGACTGTAAAATGTCTCAGTTCAAATGTGAAAAATATAATCTAATATATAAAAATGGATGTTTGTTGATTGATTGGTTGGTAAGGAATAAACTTCTACATTGCTCAACATATCGTGATGAAACTTGACATGTATAGGTAATTTTTTCATAGAGAAGGTTTTTAGGCTATCAATTTTTCTGCAACCCGCCACTAGATGGTACTGTAGAACAATTTTTTAAAGCACTGTTCAATAACGCTGCGCACGCCTAAGTTCGTTGATTCTGATTCTGTCAAAACATTGGAACAGCAGCGATACAGCAACATAGTACTACATCTACCAAATTTTACAACTAAGAATAATTCAATCACCCTCTTTGCTCAACAAGAATTGTAACGATCTGCATGAGATCATCTCTGAAGACATAAAAAAAATAAAAGAATGGCGTGACTGTAATAAGTTATCCTCCAACATCAATAAAACCAGCATTCTTACTATTCACTGCACCTTACCTGAGACCTGCCTTGGTAACAAACTATTTTTTTAAAGGACAACACAAGCACTACAGGAAAGTCTTCAAGGCGCTCCCAGAGCAGTGCATGTGCGAAAGTAGCGATTCATATTGGATTTGAATCGTTGGAGATTGAATCCATTTGGAAAAACGTTCTCAGGAAGTTTATTCTACATGAACGCAGTTCTCCAGATGAAAGAGTTCTTAAACAGTGAAGTTCGAGGTGTACAACGCAGTTCTCCAGATGAAAGAGTTCTTAAATAGTGAAGTTCGAGGTGTACTGAGTTGAAACGATGAGCAGCCACAGTCCGTCGTGTATTTCTGATATGTTCCGCTCTTGGTGAAATCAAATATACCAACTCACTTGAACACTTTCCGTGAAAGTATCTATAGAAGAGAGGCAAATCTCCAACCTTTCATCGATGTTCCAGGCTACCAAGGTTGCATGTGATGTTCCCGTCTCCAATCAGGCTGATGACTTT